TGTCCTTATTGTGAAATCCTTGCCCGCGTACAAGGTACTTTTGACCAATAAATTGACTATAACTCATTAGTTTATTGGAGATTTGGAGAGATATTTTAACCATAATCTCCCCTATCCTAGACTAACATTCTCTGAAATTTTGGTTGAAATCGGATGAAAAATAACAGAATTCGTTTCTGAGGGGGGGGCCCCCCTTAAGGGGCCAACCGTCCCCAAAGGGTTAATAAAGATAATGGAAATTCTGACCATGGATCATTTCATACTCTTGCAACTAAAATTGTTATTATTGCTACAATTTAACAATTGAAATCATTGTAGTCAAGTGTAGGCAATGATACTTTTGGTCGATTCTTAGATTTTCATTCAACTAGTTTTGTTATTGTAATTGATACCACAGGCAGTATGTCGTCTGTTATCGAACTAGTTTAAAAAGTAGCTATTGGTATTATAGAATTTACACAAGAAGACAATTCATTATTTTGATCTGCAAATTATATTTTATCACCATTTAATGATCCTGAATGGGGTTCACTAACAATAACAACCGACGTTCAATTCTTGATAGATAAAATTAATAATTTGACTGTTGATGGTGACGATGATGAACCTGAATTGTATTATCATGATTTTAATGAAGCTCTTCAAGTCTGTGAAATGAATTCGATTATTTACACGTTACTGATGTACCAGCTAAAGATACTTATCTCGGGACGCAAGTATTCGCACGTGCTACTGAACTTAAGTTCCGAATTTTCTTGTTCTATGTTCGTCGTACATCCACATCTTGAAAGCATCGTCAACGAAGAGATACTGATGAAATATTAGATGGCTTAATATATGATGATATAGCGAGCAGTCATTCTATTCCGCGATTTTGCACATTGCGGAATCAATTCCGACCCCGGAATCATCGAACTAACTCGGCTTATTCGACAACGATCGAGTTTCTTTAATTTCCAGAATTTCGTTCGATTCCTCAATTCCATTCAATTCCGGAATTCCGTCTTATCCACACCCTGAACTTGCTCTGTGTATTTAAAGATGAATATCAGAAATAAGCGAGCGATTCCCGAACGGAATTCCGGCAATTAGATCGAAGCGAAATTAGACGGAATCAGAGGGAGTTCCTACCAATTCCAAGTAATTCCATCCGATTCTCGAATTCTGTTCAATTCTAGAATTCGTCCTCACCCTCACCCTCAGCTTGCCTTGTGTAGTTAAGGATAAATATCTAAAATAAGTGAGCAATTCCCGACCGGAATTCCGGAAATCGCTCACTTGTTTCAGATATTTCTCTTTAAATACACAGGGCAAGCTGAGGGTGTGGAAAAGACGGAATTCCATCTGATTTCGTCCGATTTCATCTAATTCTGATTCTATTTAATTCTCGGAATTCCGTTCGGGACTCCCTCACTTATTTCAGGTGTTTATCTTTAACCACACAAGACAAGCCGAGGTTGAGAATGAAACGGAGTTCCGGAATCTGACGGAATTCTGACAATTCCGGAAATTGAGGGAATTTGATCGTTTTCAAATAAGCCGAGTTAGTTCGATGATCCTGGAATTCCGGAATCGGATTGAATTGATTCCGCAATGTGCAACATCACAGAATAGGATGTATTCTCATTTATTTCCACAAGACTTATTACTTGCCATTACTGGATCTGGCTCGATCAACAGAACATTTGTTGTCGATATCAATACCACTCGTATATAGATCGATTTAACATCAAGCAGAGCTCTCTTCACATCAACTTTCAATTCATTTCATTTAATTGATCTCAATGGTGTACTAATTACTCCAGTATTAGTTGCTGCTGGGACTTATTTTCAATTATATATAATCGAAAATCCACGTTCTGATTTATGATATCTTTTAAGTAATCAATCATACTCTCACAGTGTCGAAATAAATATTTCAGAAATTTCGAATACATCAACTGTAACAATATGTCATACAACATTAAGTCAATGAATTAAACGCGAGTCAAATAATACTTATAGACCCTCACTAATTGCATCTAGTATCAATCAATCAGATCTTGTATTAGTAATATCATACAACAATCTTCGATCTTCTATTCAATCGGCTACTATTGAATTAGTTAATAAACGCGGTGAAATTATATCCGTTTTGCAGGCATCGAATATCACTAAAACTGCTGGATCAATCATTTTATCTGTGATAATACACGATACTGCTTTTCGTATGTTGATTAAAATAAAATTAACAGACAATTCAATAATAGAACAGCAAAGTAATGTTCTCATTTCACCAACTTCAATTTCGATTTCAATTACTAATCAACCATACACATTGACAAACAATTCAATAACTTCTATTACATTCACAATCTATAATCGAGCTCATGAAATTCTATTAATTCGAATGTGTGTACTTGATACATTACAATTATTTGACATTAATGGAACCTATCGCAAATATACTGTTTCTAACATGAGTTTCATTCATGATATTTTGCATATCGATATAAGTACGTGGTTAGAAGACAACAAGACTAGTGATATTTGCAATGTAATAAGTGGATCTATGACATTTGTCATTACTTCAACAAACAACATCGGAAAAGTTCTCGAAAATTATAATAAAATTTCTTTCTATATTCAAACACGAGAATATAATTATACATCGCCCGAGGCAATCAAGTAAACATTCTATGTTTATATTTTGTTTCTATTTTTTTTTGTAGTACTACTAAAGCTATAAATACAACTTTGGTTTCAATTGTAAACACATCTTCGAATAAAGCAATAATCTGATCTCATGTATTATATACTCATCCAAATAGATTCTATTTGATCTTTTTATTTTTTGTTTATTTTTTCATATTATCCTTTGTATTAATCTATTTTATTTTATTTTATGAATAACTAAACTAGAAATAAACATAATCATAGCAGAAAACTTAATTTTCTTTATTATCTTTTGATATCCATTGTGTACCATCATGTTTTGGTTGAAATGGAAAAGGAATCAGCAATCGAAATAAAAGTTCACTAATTTTATTTACTTCAAAAAATCTTGCCCAATTCAATTTGAATCCAAAATCATATGGTCGTTGTTTTTGTCCTTGTACAGAATTAGTTACAATGGATTTATCAATTCTTTCTTCTACACATGTTTGACCTTTAGTAATAAGACTTATCTGCCATATAGTTAACATTAATACAAGACCCATTGCAACAAGATTGGTAAGAAAAAGAAAAAGTGTCAATACACCAGTGATAGGACCTATAGTTTTGTGTTCTATTATAGTCGTAACTAACTCTTCTGGTTGTAGAATAGGAGCAAATAAACCGAAAAGTATTTGATCATGGAACATTACTAGTTGGAATTGTTTTTGTCCGACAATAGTAGCATAAGCTGAGATCAATGCCATAAAAAAACAAAATAAGATAAAATGTACATGATTTCGATATCCAACACAATTGTTAATCCAAGGACCTAAATAAAAAAAATTACATTTGGAGACCATCAACAAAAAAAAAAAA